TTATGTGTCGCCATGAAGGTGTAGGAGGTTAAGAGGTGATGGCTGGCTCGCCCGCCATCGGTGAGCCGCTGCCTTCACTTGTGTTGTCATTTCGGCGACATCGATGGTGGATGTGAATGCATTCCACAGACGTGCTACTCTGGCAGAGAAGGTGCGCTGATGCTGGCTAGACCGCGACCTCGGAACTTCCACCAGTAGCCGATTAGAGTGTACCGTCCTCGTACTTCTCTCTCGGCCGTGGGGTGGGAGACAGAGGCTGCTTAGATGAGGCACCTGCTGCACCTGAGCCTTGTGGAGCACCGTTAGAGCCCCGACGTCACGACGATGTTCCAGCGCGTCGATGTGGGGAAGATTGGTGGCTTCCTGGATAAGCCTGAGAGCCCGTTTTTCTATTTTATCCAGCTTGTTGAGGCTGGTGGCCGCAGTAGACGACCAGGCCAACGAGGCATATTCTAGGTGTGGTCTGATCTGGGACTTGTATAGCGTGAGAATTCCCTGAGGATTCAGGAGATGAGATATGCGTCGAAGGGCTGTCACCTTCAGGGAAGCTGTTTTGCGAATCCTGCTGACGTGTCTGTTAAATCTTAGACCACTGTCTATGTCAATACCGAGGACTGAGATCAAGTCCTCGAGTGGGAGGGCGGTGTTGTTCATTAAGATTGTGTCTTTCATGACGCCTGATGCAGCTGGAGAGCGGGATATAACCATTGCCTGGGGCTTGTTGGGGGCAAATCTTACTTGCCATTGTGATCCCCATTCGTAGATTGCTTGCAGCTTTGAATTCATATTCGTTGCTACAGCGTCATGGTCCTCACGTTGGTATGAAACAGAAAGTGTACAGTCATCGGCATATGCATTGATTTCAGGATGTTCCCTCAGCATATCATCAATATAAATATTCCAGAGGATTGGGCCAAGTACAGATCCTTGTGGTACCGAAGCCTCTACCGGATACTTCTGGGATGACTGGCCACCGATGACCACTTTAAGTGTTCTTCCAGTTAGATAATTATCAAAGAGCCGCAAGAGGTTACTGCTTATGCCTCTTGCTTGTAGTTTAGCTAGGAGCCCTCTGTGCCACACTCGGTCGAAGGCGCCGGCGATGTCGAGGGCGATCACCAGAGTATCTTGACCGGCATCAAGAGCATCCTGCCAGTTTTTACTCAGCAGTAGAAGAAGGTCAGCAGTCGATCTGGAGGATCTAAAACCAAACTGTCTGGCGGAAATAAGATTGTGGTTTTCCAGGTGTTTCATGAGCTGTTCAGCAATAATCTTTCAAATACCTTGCTGATGCATGGCAGAAGGGAGATGGGCCGGTAGTTCTCTGGATTTGTTTTTGACTGTTTTTTATGTAGAGGAATCACTCTTGCTTCCTTCCAGATAGGCCAGCAGCTTTCTTCGATGCACGACTGGAAGATAGATGATAAAGGCTGGGATAACTCAGCTGCACACCTACGGAGAATATGTGGGCTAATATCTGAACCTGGGGCTTTCTTTGTGTTTAGGTTCTGAAGGATCTCTTTTGTTCTGGTACGACAGATTTGAATACCAGGGAGTTGTTCATGGCACATTGAGGGTATCTCTGGTGGTGCCCTGTTAGCATCTGGCACTGTCATTTTACAACTGAACATGCTTCCCAGAAGGTTAGCTTTTTCCCGGTTGCTCAAGGCAGTTGTTCCATCGGGCTTGGTTAGTGGAGGCATTGTGGGTTCCCGGGTCTCCCCTTGGTGCTCCTTGACGAGCGACCACCACTCCTTGCTGCCTGCTCCCAAAGTTGACAGTTTCCGCTTTGTGTCCTCTTGCCATCTGTTGCGGGCCCATTTGCACGTGGCTGTCATTTCTTTGCAAGCATTTTTGTACAGATGTTTATTGTGTCTTGTGGGATTGGCTTTGTACCTTTGCCACAATCTGTATTTCTTTTTGGAGGCTTGATGACATCTGTAGCCAAACCAGGCTTGGTCCCCCGGTTTTGTGATATATGTCCGTGAAGGGACGTATTTCTCCTGCATTTCAGTGAGGAGGCTGGCGATGGAAGATGCTTTGTCATTTCCATTCCCCACCAGGAGAACATCCCAGTCTTGTGACTGAAGTTCTGCCTTCATACCTGGCCAGTTTGCATGGTTCCAAAGCCATATTTTTCTTTGTCTCCTTTCATCAGCTGCGGGGGCGAGGCAAAGATGTGATACAACTGCAAGGTGATCTGATGTCCCTATATTGCCGAGCGATGAGCAAGAGATAAAGTCCTCAGTTAGATCCGATATAACAGGGTCGAGAGATCTACCGAGGATGTGCGTCGGGAAATCGACGTAATCTGTCAGCCCGTGAACTGTGAGGAGGTCCTCATATGCTGACTGGATGAGATGGTGATTGAGGTCCCCAACTATTAAGAGATGCTGACAGTTGTTCCGAGCCTGAAGGACGTCTAAATTTTCCGTTAGGAAGTCCATCGGTGCCCTTCCTTGCCACTGCGGCCTGTAGTGAGCGCAAAGTAGTAGGGACT